AAACAATTATTAGATTTTTTCACCAACTAGCAAGTTCGGGGGCAGCTTGAGCCGTCGTCACTTTCTGTATCCCTAAAGGACTAGCACTATAAGGCCTAAGACTGCTTGTGATGCTGACAATTTGTTTGAATTACCTTTGTATGAATTCCAGATTCACCTTTTGCATGGGTCCCAAGTAGAGTCTAGCATTTTTCGGTTGCATTAAAATAGGATTTACAGTATGTCGAAATTTACCCCAATCTTCGCCACTATTCATGAAAAAAGGTACAACATATTAGCGAATAAGTTAGTATATAACTTTCTTATATTTTTCCCACTTACTGCCCTGCCAAGCCAATCCTCTCGTTGAAAAATCCATCTTTTCGCATTTGTCGATAATGTGTTATTACTTCGCCGCCTGGTCGCACCGGCCAAGAGCCCTCAGTGCGAAACACTTTCTCAAAATCCTCGAAATTAAAGAGTACAAGTGAAGGTGGTTGCCCAAAAACGCCGGGCATACGATAAATGTTACCGAAACGTTCGCGACCCTTCAAAAGCAAATCATTCAAAGAAAAATCAGCGAACTGGCCTATTGACGAAAATAGAGAAATGCATATATGTACATTAGACCGCAACAAAAAAACAAAAAAAAAAAAAAAAAAAATGCTGCATGCGACTGGAATAAGACTAAAATTTTAGCATTTGTGATCTTCCCTCTTTAGGACAATTGTAAGAGGTGCCGCGTCCAGCATTAAGTTTTCCCATAGGAATTACACGCAAGATAATGAGTTCTTTCCTTTTGAGGTCAATATAATCTTCTAGGATAAATGAAAACGCTCCCAGAAAATTATATTTACCTCAAAAGGAAAAAGAACTCATTTTCTTACGTATAATTCCTATGGAAAAACCAAATGCTAGACGCGGGACTTCTTAAAATTGCCCTAGAGAAGTGAGATTCATGCAGGATCATTGCTATACCAAATGCTAAAATTGAAGTCTTATTCCGGTCGCATTGTTGGACTTTTATTTATTTTTTTTTACGCGATCTAATGTACATACATATTTAGTATATGCATATTAATTTGTTCACCCACAGCAATTGTAGAATGTAATGGAAAACTTTGAACTCACCGCCCTTCATGAAGCCGCGCACCAATTCGTATCTGCTGAGGCCGGGTATGGCTTTAGACGGTAGCGCTTTTTGCCATTCGTTATTCAAAGAATTCACAAATGATTTACTATATACATTTTGGTCCTAAAAAAAATTAAGTATAATACAAATTTTTTAAAGTATGTATATGCAAAATCCAAAATCTTCTCGGGTATAAACCAACTCTTTTAATATATAGTACATTAGGAAAACATAATTGCTTTACCTTGGCATTGACTGCTGTCGATTGAAATGCAAATTGCATTCGTGTTAGCTTTTGTTGCTTTTGTATTTGTTCTCGGACACTGATCCATTTCCAAGCTATGCTAACGTTGCGTACACTATGAACTGATAACATTTTCAAATTCAACTACTAACTAATAATTGCAGATATGACTCAGCAAAAACACAAAATAAAAGAAAGCAAAAGAACAAAACAAAAATAATGTAAACACAGATATAAGGCAGCTTCTGAGCAGAGTAATCTCGTCTTGCGTGTGTGTGTTGTTGGAGAAATCGAATTCAACTAAATACATTGTATGATATAAGCGATTCCCTAAGTGAGTTTCATGAGAATAAGTAACGAACGAGTTAATCTAAAGCGACAGGTTTTTATTAAAATACAAAAGCGGTATTGGCCTACCTCGAATGAACAGTGCTGTCCACGAAGAGGGCTCGCTTTCGGGTCATGACTCATGAGTATTCAACAAACAACAACAAG